CCCCAGCGGCGCAGCAGCGATCCCTGCATCGGGCACCTACTTGGGGAAGTGGGTGAGGATCAGCGTCCGCTTCTCTGGCACCAGCTTGTCCTTCTCCACCCGGAACTTCTCCAGCAGCTGCCGGCGGGTGACCGTGAAGATGGACTTCAGGAGGCTGCGCCCGAAGAGCTGCGCCCGAAGACGTGGGTGGTCTCGTAGCGGGGAAGGCTGTCGCAGCTCTGCGGCACGTGGCAGTAGCACAGCCACCTAGGAGACAAGAACACGCTCCAGCGACGGGCCCGGGACCAGCGACCCCAGAGCATCCGCATCCCTCCTGGAACAACCGTGCTGGAAACAGGGTTGAGAAGAGCAGGCGTCTGGGCGGGTCATGGCTGATGTTATTTGGAAGCAATCTCTCCACCGGATGCATGCTCTCCTCGCCCAGGAGAGCTGGGGAGAGGTGAAGACCCTGGGAGACAGGGCTCAGGTGGGAGAAGCGGGCAGACCCCCAGGCTGGCTGAGCCCCTCTTGCCCTCACCTCGTGTAGTTGACCTTGTAGGTGGCCACATCATCATTCTGCGAGCGCTGCCGGAACTGGGACGGCGTCTCCAGCTTCCAGTAGTTGAGGCAGAGCAGGAACATCTTGGAGAGCTCGTACATCGTCTGCCGCTCCTTGGGTGGCAAGTGGCTGAACTTGTACTGGACAAAGTTCAGGACTCCCTGGGGAGAGGAAGGGGTAGTGGAGGGGCATCGGGTGCTGTACCAGACCCTTCAGTACTGCAGGAGGGGACCGGGCAGGAGCCGCAAAACACAGGACAAGTCATCAGTGCAACACGTGAGCCTGACAGCAGCCTCACCTGCTCAATGTTTGGTTTCTCGAAGGGGGGGCTCCCCAGGGACCCCTCGACCACAGGCTGGCTCATTTGCAGGATGCACTTCCGAAGGAGCTGTGGAAATGCCATCAGACACTGTTACTGAAGTCCCAAGAACCAGGCACGCCACGAGCGGGGGAAGTGGCAGAACGCTGCTGCAGGGCTGCACCGATGTATGCAGCCAGGAAGGTGCCAGGGTCCATCTCGGAGCACGCCCGTTTCTTCCCTGGAAATCTCCCTCCCAAGGGAATTCAAGGCTGGGAGAGCCGTTGCTCCCGGGACAGGGTCAGCGTTTCGGGTCTCCGGCTGGGCTGGCGGGATGGCTCACAGCCACAGACCACAGCTCTCCGCTGAGCAGGCAGAGGACAAGCAGCAGGACAGCAGCCCCAGCTCCCCAGCAAAGCTGAGGGACCTCTG